GTTTTGCCGCATACAACAACGTGTTAGAACGTCCTCAAGTGCATTTAGCCTATTGACATGTTTGCACTTGTTTGAACTGCACGGCATTCAGTATAGTCTGCCTGTTTTCCTTCAAATGTCTCGTGAAAATAACTCATACTTCTACTATAGCCTCTAAGAACTGTTCAGCCATGCTCCAGCACGATTACTGTGCATTACGTCTGTATTTGTTTTGACGCATCGCTTGAATGAAGGGTTGTCTTCAAAACAATATATTACGTACGCCTTTCAAAGGTCTGTTCTTGTTTCCCAACTAAACGGATCTAGACTGAAAGCCAATGGATAGTAGGCAGGCGGGCGACCCTAACCCCACAAGCTTTGCCAAAAGTCGGCCTTTGCCAGACAAGAACGATCGATTTATCGATACTTTTTTGATCGTGTTGTAGTTGTCCTGTTAGATAAATGTTTCGAGTCTTACGTCCGCTACCGCCGTTAAGCATTACTTCACATGACCACATTACACCGCTAAACGAAGTGTGTCTACGCAAAGTGTCAAACCTAAACCACCATGTATCCTAAAGTTTAGTAAACAAATACGCTATCGTAGGACGATTGCCATTATAACCGACTAAATTCTAGTAACCTATTTCACAGATAATCTATCATACATCTCCCACTACGTGACACACACGCTACCCCGTTTATGTATAAATACATAAAAAATAAAAATTAAGTTCAAATAAAACAAACGCTTATGGCACTCTGCGACGACCCCTTGACGATTCGTAAAGTTTAGCATCGACGTAACCATTTATTCATCCAAGGCTGCCGCTGTCGCCGCCACATTAGAATGCCCAACTTCCACACAGCGGTCTAACTGCCACTCATGGCAGGAGTGTGTAGCAAACTGAATTGCGTTGTGAACGATGGGGCCAACATTGGCAAATGTTGCATGCTCCGTTGGTCCCATCTCGCGCCGGGACCGGTCTGCCGTCGCCATTCAGCCGCGACTCCAAAGTACACACATTGCTCCGGTTCCCCTTTCCCCGCGCTGTTTCGGGAGTCGGCGGCAGCAGACTGGCGGCAATCGTCACTGATTCGGTGACACCATCGCGACAATCACCTCCTGCCCTGCCAAATATGTATATATCTACTCAGTCGCAGAGACACACATGTAAAAAAAAACACGGCCGAGAGCAATCATTGACAGATGGACGCGCCGGTCGGCTTCCGGGGTGATCAGCTGAAGCCGAAACGCGGAAAGACCGAAAAAGAAAGGTAGGTTCTGGGAGAAACCTTCGTTAGCGCCTATTATCGACAGGAGGGTACAAATAGGAAAAGGCGACGGACGAAGAATGCCCTATGTTGAAATCGGTTGGCGGCAGATATTGTTCGATAGGAAAAGTCAGTGCTGCTGCTTTCTTACGCGCGACGTAGACCTTCATTGACGAGACATCTTGAACTCCTTTGATAGCGTTCGAAGATAAGTGGCGGCAAAATTTCACAAGACATAAGTGGGGAATGTTCGCCTGCCCTGCTATGGTTTCGATAATAAGAAATGGGCTCACTTATTTCACCGTTGCATCTTTGCTGTGAGACCGTTTCGGACCACTCTGGGCCCTGTCGCTCGAAGTGCTTGGAGCATAGGGCCGAGGCAGCCCAGTGCAGAACATCGTGGTATGTGAACATTGGTGTCATCGCTTACTGACTCACAGAGGACTATCGTTAAGTATCAACAGTTCTTGGGTCGTTATTTCCTATATATGAGTTTATTTGCCTATAAAGTGGCCGCACAGACTCGTGGACGTCCTCGGCTGTTTGCAGAGAAGACAAAAAATAGTCTAACACGGCTAATTATGACAATCTGCGTATTTCCGATCCAACACACTTTGTGATCAGCCAGTATTACAAAATCATTTCAGAATTTCTATACGCTAGCAGATACTCGCATTGTCAGTCTGGTTGAAGGTGTGGGAAGCAAGGAATCGGTTGTAGGAGGATAGCGCATTTGAAAACGCACACAAGTTAACATGGCTTACTCTTTCTTATTTCAACTATTTTCACAATATCAGTTAGATCCCTATGCGATGACGCCGATGGCTAGATGTTCTATAGGTTTTACTATGTTTTATAGGGACGCATAGCGTAGAATGTGGTAGGGTTTTTAACGTAAACCAAAACCAATTTCTGTCGGATTGAACTATCTGTATGCGATTTTCCAGTTGGTTAATAGAAGTCGTTCAGATACACTTGTCGTTCATCTCCCGAATCTGTGCTGACAGCTGTCGTCTGTCAACCGCCCAGCGGCCATCACCTTGCTAATTCCAAAAGTCCGATGGTCCGATTTTCTAATCCGATTCACCAAAACAGATCACATTTTGGTGTTTACACCAGAGCTTGGGACATCGAACTGACGCTGCTGAGCTGTACGCAGGTAGTTTATGACCTATATATATATGTATATATTTTACCTGTTTACAGAGCCAGAGCCGAATAGGACGTGACCTAGAAGATGGCTCCGACTCCTGGCTAGTTTAAGGTATATGATCAAAACATGCGGATATTCGGAATGCATGCAGAATGAACTCGTTTAAGAGTTCTTCAAATAGTGTAACGTTTATCTTAAGAAAACTACCCTAAGAGGTAGCTTTCTACGATACCCGCTCACTGTGTTCCTTGCCTACGTGAGGTGTCAGCCTAATGCCATATTAGTAAAGTACATGCAACTAATTATACTTTATTTACTACCATTGAGAAATGCGTAATTCTGTCTAATTCATAACCGAGGCAAGCAAGCTCATTTTGATCTTTGGCAAACAAATCACCGGAGGAGTATTGCAACTACGACAGAGGTCCTATCTCGTTAAAGGTCTCTTTATTCAATAGAGTAATTAGAGTACGTTGTGTAATTAGCAATCGGATGAACTATGTGTATTTTTTTTCTAGCACTCTTTAAGTATAGCAAAATGATAATTTATAGATAAAATTAAATGTTTTGTAAAACATTCTGGCCCTTGTTTCATATATATATTTAGCTAACACTGGCACTGTCAAAATGTACATAATGCCGTACTCGAACGCTGCAAGTTAGACACCGAAAAGACCACGAGTCGGCGCCATTCTAGGGACCTTTTAAGCGCAGTGAACAAAACGAACCGAGATATGCCTAAGTTAGCGAAGCCTAATGTAAAGGTAAACTCTTCCTAAAACCACACAAGTGGGTCTTTTTTGAAAAACAGGAGTTGCATTTTATAGGCATTTATCAATTGGGCGTATCGGGCTCTCCATATCGAGTTGTGAAAAGTGCAAAATTATTGAGTACCGTTCGTTCATACCCATGCGATCGCTAAGTCAACTTGCCAGATGTCAACCCCCCCCCCCCCCCCGTACGTTTTTATTAGAAGAATATTACCGAAAAAAGATCTGAAATTAGTAAATCGACTAAAAAAATCTGTCCCAGATCTACGGTTTGCTTTGGTAAGGTTAAGGAATTAGAAATTTGCGTTTTAAATATATTGCCTCAGATGATGTTTTCGCAATGACAAATTTCTCTCGACAGTATCTTAGCTCGGACGATATCTAACTTTTCTATACGGGCCAGCTTGTTTGTGAGGTTATAGAAAAGGCCACATATAAATTCAGGCTATACGCCTCCAGCATTGGCATTTACATAACCGTTGCTGCGATGAAGAATAGATTGTGACGCCCTGAAGCTATTTTAACAGTGACTGTTATTGAGCTACGTACAGCAGATGCTATGTGTCCACAGCAGGCCATGATGTGTGTATGTATATATGTATAGCTGTGTTGCATGCCGTAAGATAATCCTGATCTCATTTCAGTTCCTACCTAATTTCGTTCATTGATTGTTCCCTCTTTACCATTTTGATGCTTCAGTTGAAGATAGCTGGCCTGAATTACAGGACTTTCGCGTTATATCAGATAAAATATCGAGCTATTTCCACCATTATCTTCTTGCATGCTTCATATATATATATATATATTTCATTAGATCTTTGTGAATTAATTGTTCTTATAATAATCTGAATATTGGGCACCACTCTTTCTCGATCGCTCTGAATACGCCTGTTAGACTATGATTGTTACGTTTCTTTTCTTTAAACGCAAATCGTACTCTTAAAGCTGAGTTTCAACAATGTCCATTTAGACAGTTCAGATTTGGCCTGAATCACTGGACCTTTAATGTTATGAAACGACTGTCAGGTCACAGATGTGTCATATTTATATCTCGTTTGCTTATCTAGCTTTTGGTAAGCCTTTTTTTCCTTCCTTTAACCTTGAAAATGACGGAATTATAATATTGATATTTTATTCTGCAGCCTTCTAGAGATAGTCGCGATCTGTAGATACGGTTCAGAACTTGGTATAATTCTGTTAACTTCATCTAGGGCAAAGAGGCATCGTCAGCTGTAGCAAAACCCTCAACAGCACTTTTCTTTTGGCCAAAAAAAGACCGCTTAAGGGTTACAAGGCTTTCCAATGAAAAAAAATATTGATGTCGTCTGTTCTGGTATTTTAAAAATTGCCATTATGCGTGCGATAGGACTCGTCTGTAGGGGAGATTGAAGTTCCTTCGCTGAATTAAAGTAGGCTTTCAATATCTATGTTTTAAGTTTTACGTGCGATATCGCCATTAGCCATAATTCCATCAGACAAACTCCAAACTAGAACAACTTAAGATTGTGCTTTCTGCATAACTGCGGTATATCAGTGTAATGACCCCCCGAACGTAGCAATGTTCGGAGATTTTTTGTCTTGGATTGCCCAATAGCGAAAAAAAAAAAAAAAAATAAGCATTGCTGACTTGTTTCCTAAGTATGATCTTCTCTTCAGAAGTAAACAATGATGTGGACAAAAGCTATGGAACTTTGATTCTCTAGAGCTAATTGTTTCAGTGTTATAGGTAACCATGAACGGTTTAACATCCACAGGTGCTATCATCATCATCATCATCATCAGGAAGATCCACACAGATCAAATCGGAGGAGGCTGATACGCACCTGATATGAGCAGAAGAGAACAAATGAATATTATGAACATTTTCAAATGCTGATTGGTCTCGATCTACAGATGCGGTATTCTTCGGACGCCGCGTTTGCCGTTTCGTTTATATCTCCTGTTTGCTTCAGATATTTGTTACACTTCCACAAACTCGTCTTCACCGCAATGATCTAAAGCATTAATAGATACGTACACACCGTATTGTATACACCGCATGAACTTAATGAAATACAAGTGACTTCGCAACTGTTTCCCCGTATGACGAAGGTATTGTATTGTAATTTTATTAGGCCCCACTCGATCAGGGCCTTTCGTTGAATTTTCACTACACTGACAAAGAGCTAGCAGCAGCAGCAGCAGCAGCAGTAGCGCACACGTGGCTTGAGCATATTGAGCTTATCTTTCATCGGTATGTTTGAATATAAGATTTTCATTTAACGTTCCTTTTGCTCATTTAAACCGACCCCAGTGAGGAAGTCGACTTCACTCAGTCAAGACACAGAAATTGATTAAATTTTTCGTTTCCATCTGAGTCTGTTGGACAACGTTCACTAGGATATACATCGTCAACCGGTAGTAACCTTACTGCACATTGTTCGCTACTTGGCTACATGATAGGTAGGATTGGAGCAAGCGCTCCTCTGGGGCTGTAAGGCCGCATGCTCCACGTGCGAGTTCCAACTGGCCGGGATGGTGGAATCACGCATCGGTTGTGTCAGTGGCCTGCCTTGCCGGGAGTGCCCACCTTCGCCAGGAGCGCCCCCTGGCTTTCGTGCCGGGAATTCGAGAGTCAGCAAGACGACGTATGACAACTGTTGCTGGGCGCCCAGCGTTTGCCACGTGACCCCGTGGGAGGGTCCATCGGGTGCGAGGGACCTCCCACTTTTTGCGGCGCCCCTTCTAACTCGTATCCCTATCCCCCCTCCCCCCCCCCTGCGCGTTCTTTTGGGTTCTTGCGGAGATGACCTTTGAGACTCCATCTGGCCAGCTTTGATCGACCGACCGACCGACCGACCACACTAGCGGGCGGTTTCCACTTCCTACGTTTGGATGGGTCTGTCTTCGAGTCGACAGTTCCCCTCACTCTAGCGCGTTCTTCATCCTCGGAGCCTTCTAGCCCGACGCACAGGGAGAGAGCAAGTTACGAGCTTCTGCTTACTACTTTCTGACTTCCTTCAAGCTATGGGACGATGACCTAAGATAAGGTATGACTTGAAAGTCGGACCCCACCACAGTGAAGCTTGCTCGCTCCTCTCCATCGGTGTAGTGGTGGATCGGTCAGAAACCAACACCGACTACACTCAGACTAACACACAACTAAAGCGACGCATAAGTCCGAGTCTCGAAATACATACACATACATATACAATCTTACGTGTACGCAAGACATCCAGCTTTTCTAGGTGCTCCGCCTTGCTCTTGGATGTAAGCAAGAATGATGGTCCGCTGTGGGAACACGCCGTTTATGTCCATGCCCAATCGAGACACAACGCGTTCCCATCTGTTTCGAACAGCTATGCCCTACCTAGCAGATGATCAACGCCGACCGATTACATAGCTGCAGGTCTTGGAGCAGAGGATCTTTTATGAACGAGGTAGAACTTCTCGGCAGAGGGGGTAATTGCAATAACATTCGATGTACCACCGTTCAATTCTAACTCTTGATAAGAATATGTTTTTTGATCTACTATGGAAGATATTGCTCCAATGAAACAAGTGCATCTGTTCGAAATGCTCCTTTATGAAATAGCTATAATAATACTTAATAAACGAATATAGACGTCTTTGTCAATCTCAGTACAGTAGATGAGGCAGTATTCCATCGTGATGACCACGATCAACTCAAAACACTGAGATTTTGTACTAAGTGTGCAACTACGTTGAAGTGAATCTCCTTTGGCCTGCCTAGTATTTAATCCTATAATAACAACGCCAACCAAAAATTTTATATCAATTCACTGGCAAGCATTGTTGTAAAAACGTGTCCGAACAAATGCATGAAGTTCTCGTGATATCCTCTTCGCATTTAGCCCGGAAGGTGACTGTGTCAATGAATGTTCCATACGCTTATTTTTATACGTATACAATAGATTATCACGAGATTATCGTTTGCAAAAGATAAATTATAGGATAATAGATTATCAATTTCCCATAGTTGTATTTTGTTAATCTTATATATGGTTTTTTATCCCTAAATGCTTTAATCTTCGATGCTAGGCTTGTGTATAATTAGATAAAATGCTTATGGGAATTCGTTGAATGGTTACAATTAGCTTCCGTAATATTGCTTAGTATATACCGTCGTTCTTTACGACCAAACCCATTATCTGATTGCTTTGCCCTGAGGGATAATCCCAGCTGCCAGAGCTGAGCCCCACACTCAACCCACACAGAATCGCTAGAACGAAAAAAGATTGGCCAAATTTTCTTTAAAAAAACTCTTTCATTTTTGTAACGAAAAGCAAGCTTCTAATTCATAGCAACAATTGTTCAATAGTTAAAAAAAGATTTTTAAAAGATTACGCGAAATTATGTTTTTGCATATTTAGCTTCGTTCAGAAACAAGGTTACTTAGACATTCTTTTTCTATCGTGTTCGCTTCTTCTGAATTCGAGTGTAATCTGTAGCGTCCGAGAACTCACTGACTATATTTTAAAATTTCAAATCATTAGACTTGTACGCTCACTTTTCTCACTGACTGGAAGTCTAGACTCATCGAATTTCTTACATTTGTCGGTGGGGTTCCATCCCTGTACGATCTATGTAGAATACCCTATGCAAGGTCCCCCTAAATAAAATCCAAAGGTACGTACTTGTCTATTCTTGAAAAAAATACCGATTGTGACATTTATATCATTTATCAGGTATATATTTCTTTCTAATATTTTCACTAAATTTCATCCACTTGTCTTTTTGTTTAAATTTAATTTTTGAAAAAATATTTCATTAGAGCATAGGGTTTTTCTTCCATGTCTGTCTTTCTGAAGGTTTCCCGAGGAACACTTTACATAACAAGTTACCGCAAACAGTGTTACAATAATTTAGTACTCTAATAATTTCTTTATATAAACTATTGATTTGTGTGATTGTTTATTTCAAGTTGACAAAATGGCCTCGTTGATTACCGGTTATGCTCGCATGGCGAAAGCGGCCTAAAGTCATAGTAACTTGTGCAATTTGGAATTAAACTCTGTTTATTAAATGAAAAAGCAATTTTCATGAGGCTTGCTACGTAAGTGCTGCTCAAGTAAGAACCGTACGGTACTCTCATTAAAGGTAAAAGCCAGCCATTAATAGCAGCATTTAGATGGGCACAACCAGTTGACCGCTATTCGATGCTTTCTACGCGTCGTCGTCCAACATGTGAGAACCCTTTTTGACCTTTTTCGAATACACACTGCGCGCATTTTGTTCAGTGAAGCATAATAGACTTGAAAAATGCTACCCCTGCAGCCTGACCCTGCCATGACCCAGGCAATAACTGTAGAAGAAATCTTCACAAGTGTGAAGACTTCTTCTACAATTACGAAGTCCAATTACAATCTACCGGATATCTGTGACAGGAAGAATGAGTGCTATGTGGGTGAACTAAATGTAAATACCGGAATGGCCACGAGCATTCGAAACCGCATAACAGTCAAAGGATCAAAACTGCGGTCAGTCAGATTGCTCACGGGCTACTTGTAGAGCTGATGATGGGAAGGAAGAATACGGAAAGGAAGAAACAAACCAAATGTTTTCTGTTTCATGTTTGGTACCGGCGTTAGACATTCCATCGGGTAACTGACTCCCACCGTAGAACAAATTGAGTCTAGCCCCGGATTCGAACATAGATCACGAAGTGTTTCTCAAAAAACAAATTGTCAATTTTATTGGACAAAAATATACCTTTTACGCCATCGTGAAAGCGTAAGATGCTAATACCACGTTCGACTACGATGGCAATCTGACCTGGCCGTACAACAAGCTATAGCGAATTGCCACGGCTATAACAGTAACGTATCGACCAGACGGCCACACTTGTACTTGTTGGTCCAAAGCATCGTGACGCTTCATATTTTGCTGTTCAAACATTTTGCTTGTTTCTGTCATAGGGGAACATCATCTGCGATACGATCGCTTCGGTACAAACAATGAAGAAGATTAGTTAAACAGTTAATCCGACAAACGGCCATTAGAATCAGCTGTCCTGCGAGGGTTCACCTTGCTGAGGTCCGTGCGATTCGAGAAAGACTCTAACAATATAAGCAGACCGCTAATGGTGGTCACATCGTCGATCAGCAGGTACGGTACCCAAATCTTTGTAGAAGAGTTTTCATTACTTGTACCCTTCAGAGCATTTACGATGTCCGGACTATTTGTAGCGAGGTGTATCGTTTATTGTCATACTGCAACAAATTAAAACACCCATATTAGTTGCACCTACAATTAGTGGATTCGAATTCATTGTAAGTGCAGATTGAGTACTAAAGGTTGCCGCAGTCATCATCAAGCAATGAATCCGTCCTAGTGATGCACAGCAAGTTACTTAAGCCATATTTCTTTAAGATCATTGATAATGCCAATGTCATCGTGCTGTCTACATAAATTCATGTGGCAAGTTCTTAGTTAAAAAGTTAATTTACGAAAATCGAGTTATGAGCAGGGCTTTTTGCGGCATATGCATTGTGACCCCAAACATGCAAATCTTATTAGGATCTGAAATTTCATACTAAGCTCAAGTATTAGTAGATTGATAAATCCTTCATGTTCAGCGTACCATTAAGAGGTTCCATTGAAAGAGAAGCTTACCCACTTACGCGAAGAACGGCGTAGGCAGTGAACGTCATAACAAGACCACTGATGCCGAACACAAGATTGTGCAATCCCAGAATTGGGCTGATATCCTTCTCCCATAAATGCATGAGCCATGTATTAGCATCTGTCAGATAAGAATTAATGTAACCCATATGTGTGTTATTTGCAAGTCACCAGAAAAACCCGTCTACCTTGCCAGCCTACGCGCGGTGTATTGGAACGGCGCTTAAATTCAAAGATCGATTAGCTGGTTTAGCGTGAAAAAAACTTAACTTCTTTTGGAAACATATATGTCGGTTCAGCAAGTTATTTGTTTGAAATTAACAGTTGTCGGTGTTATCTCAAAAACGTGAAAACAAACAGTACTTATAAAATACCACATTAGAGTATCATACTTTACTGATATAAAGCACCTATATACTATATAAAACTGCATATAAACTGTAAATTACTGCACAAAGACACTAACATTCCTAGATACGGAAATTCAGGTAACGGGTGGTAGGCTTTCTCCAAAAATAAAAAATAAATCACCAGAAGCTGTCCGTATCACTGCTGAGGTCAAACCCTACCAGGAATACAATAAAAAAAGAACTTAGCTTTGGCATACCTTTACAACATCGCAAGATCTTTGCCTAGACACGCAAGTTAATTTCTGTCTATCTTATTATAATTATAGATTTAAACTTAATAAACTTAAATTTAGTAAATTACCTTGGCTCAGTAACTCTTGTTTAAAACAACAATCGATTAAATTTTATCTTTACTTTTTCTTGCCGGTAGTAGCAGTCAAAAGCTTTGTAAATACCAGTGAACAGCACTATCCCCA